GTACTTTTTAAAAAAAACTAAACATGCCACAACCCAGCAACTGCACTCCTTAGGAATTTATCCCAGAGAAATAAAAATTTATGTTCATACAGAAATCTATATACAATTGCTTATAGCAGCTTTTTTTTTTAAATAGCCAATAGCTAGAATCAACCCAGATGTCCTTCAATGAGTGAATGGTTATATCTACACCATGGAATACTTTTCAGTAGTGAAAAGAAATGAATTATAGTTACATACAACAACCTGGATGAGTCTCCAGAGAATTCCACTGAGTAAAAAAAAAAAAAAGCCAATCCCCAAAAGGAACTTACTGTGTAATTCCATTTATGTAACATTCTCAAAATGACAAATTATGGAACTGGAGAACAGATTAGTGATTGCCAGGAGTTAAGGTGAGGAGGGCATCTGGAGGGAAGGGTGTGTGGCTAGAACTTGGCACATCCTTATGGTGCTGGAAATGGTCTGCATCTTGATTGCATCAGTGCCAATATCCTGGTCGTGATATTGCACTATAGTTTTGCAAGCTGTTACCCTTGGGGTGACCGGGGTAAAGGGCAATTGAGATCTCTGTATTACTATTTCTTACATTATCTCAAAATAAAGAAAGTTCGATTTAAGAAGTCACCAGAATAAAAAGATTAGCTTTCATAATTTCAAAACAAATAAAAAGAATGAAGAAGTCCATATATATATAGAAGTCTATATATATGTGTGTATATAGAAGTCTATATATATGTGTGTATATATATGTGTGTGTATATATATAGAAGTCTATATATATGTGTGTATATATATATAGAAGTCTATAGACTTCTATATATATATACACACACAGAAGGCTATCAAGCATATTTTGTTAGGTGAAAAGAGTAAGCTATACATGTAATATAATCCTATTTTAATCTAAAAATACCACATGTGTGAATACATGTTTGCATGAACAAAGGAAAAAGCATGGAGTAATCTATACTGAGCTGTTTACAGTAGTATTAGAAGGATGAGCAAGAGAAAAGGGAAGTGTTCAGCCTATATAATTTTTGTAGTTCAAATAACTAACCTAAAAAGTAAAGATTACTTTAATGTAACTTTTAAAATGTATGTTACGAATATTTTCCATTTCATTAGAAATTGTTTATAAATATCTTTTTTGGTGCCAACCTAATATTCCATCAAATTTATGTACTCTAATATAAGGCCATTATCCTTTCATCTGATGTTGTACCCTATTAATAACACTATAATTATTACTTTTGTACCTAAGTTTTAGTTTGCATTTTTAAATTATTGTTTTAAAGATAAAGCTCTAGAAATGAAATTAAGGGTATGAACTTTTAAAAACAGTTGGTACATACTGTAAGATTGCTTCCAGAAAAGTTCTCTTCATCTACAGTAAGTCTAGTAAATGTCACTGTGTACCACTCTCACTAGCACCCTTGCCAGCAATAATATTATTTAAATTTTTTCTTTTTCTTTTCTTTGCTCATTCGATAGTTGAAAAACATATAATTGTTATTTTAATTTGCATTTCTTTGATCACTCGTGAGACTGAAACAATGTGCTTCTTTCTAAAAATTCTCAAGTCTTTTGTGTCAGTGCTTTTGTTCTGTTTCTATGATCTGGGTTTCCTCCAGAACAGCTCCTCTTCCCAACTTCCTGATCTCTGACAAAGGCAGTATCGCCCTCCTGATTGCCCCAATATCTGAACCAGTGTCAAATTTTTTTCTCTAATTCCATCCCTGGTTTCCTGTCCATCACCAACTATGGCCATTCCTTCCTTTGGAATGTTGTTCTGTTTCATCTTCTCTGTTCCCATGGAATGCCACCATCATGCACCAAGGCTGCATACCTTCTCATCTGGATTACAGCAGAATCTTCCTGGCAGTTCTCTCTGCTGCTAGTCTCTCGTGCGTTGAATTCTCTCCCACCTACTTTCGTACTGACCTCCAAAGCAATGTGTTGCACTTGTTACTCCCTAGTCCATTAGACTAAGCCTAGAAGCTTCTGCCAGACATTCGCCCCTCAGCATCACTTCCGACACCTTCCCAGCCAGAAAGCTCCATACTCAGGTACTTTCCTCACTGCTTTGAGGTGGTTGCCCACTGGAGTTTCCCCCACTTCCTGGATGTCCTCATTGTTCCCCTCTCCTCTAGTCCACTACCTATATTTCTTGCAAGTCTTGGTTCAACACTAGTCTCTTCCATGAATTCATCCCAGACTCGCCCACATTCTTAGACCTTTCACACTATCCTGCAATCGCTTTTGCAGACTATGGGGACGGCCTGCATGAGCTGGCCATGATGGCACCCAGAAGAGGAAAAGAAAGCAAGGAGGAAAAATTATTTTAGGGAAGGGGTGATGCATATCATTTTAGACCAGCTGAGTTTTGAGTGATGGCAGGATAATCTGATAAAGTTACCCCTTGGGACTCTGGAAATGTGGGCCCAGAATTGAGAACAGAGGTTGGGGCTGGGAAAATCAATTTGGGAGTCATCTGCAAAGCTGACAGGGGATGCAGTAGAAATTTATTTATTTATTTATTTGTTTGTTTGTTTGTTTAATGGTGACAGTGGTTAATGAAATCCAGTACGTTTTAGCTGCACACTTTAACAGTAAGGCATATATATATTTACACTGTATGTTTACCTCCTATAGTTAGATTTCTTTCTGTCACAACATATTTGACCCCCTTTATCCCATCTACCTCCCCTCTCCCCCTTCCCCCTGTCTGGTAACCACCAGTCTATTGTCTATGTCCATGAGTCTCTGTTTGTTTGTCCTGTTCATTTGTTGCTTTTGGGTTTATATTCCACATATAAGTGATTTTCAACTTTTTCTGTCTGCTTTATTTCACTTAGCATGATTATCTCAAGGTCCATTCATGTTGTTGTAAATGGCATTGTTTCATCTCGTCTTATGACTGAGTAATATTCCATTGTACATATGTACCACAGCTTCTTTAGCCAATCCTCTATCGTAGGACATTTCAGTTGCTTCCATGTCCGGGCCACCATGAATAATGCTGCTATGAACGTCGGTGTGCAAATATCTTTTCGGATATGAGTTTTCAAGTCTTTGTGGCAAATACCCAGTAGAGGGATTGCTGGATCATATGGTAGATCAATTCTGAGTTTTTTGAGAACCTTCATACTGTTTTCCATAGTGGCTGTACCAATTTGCAGTCCCACCAGCAGTGTATGAGGGTTCCTTTTTCTCTGCATCCTCTCCAACATTTATTACTTGTCCTGTTGATTATAGCTATTCTAACAGGTGTGAGGTGGTATCTCATTGTGGTTTTGATTTGCATTTCCCTAATAGTTAGCGATGTTAAGCATCTTTTCATATATTTGTTGGGCATTTGTAGATGCAGCAGAATTTAGAATGTCCATAGAAATGGGGAAAAGGATCCAAGACAGAATCTGGGGTGACACCTAAATGTAGATGTCAGAACAAGAGTCCAAGATGGCGAAAAGGGAATGGTACTTAGATATGGAAGAGAAATCAAAAGAGGTGAAAAGGAGTTAGAACTAGAAGAGGTTACTCTTTCAAGAAGTTTGGTAAATTGTGAAAGAAATGTAGAAGATTTCAGAAAAACTGGAGAACTAAACCAATGTGTAGATCCAGGGGAAAGAGGAAGTAGGGTAGGAAAGACTGAAAGGGCAACTGAAGGGGGTGTTGGGCGAGTGCTGGAGGGAAAGCTGGGGTCCTATGCACCCAGGGCTACGGGTTCTCTGGAAAGGTCTCCTGGAGAGGATGAGCCTGGTCAGTGGGGAAGGGGACTGTGAAGTTTGGAAGAGGAGAGAAGGGAGAATGCATGAGCAACATGACGTCCAGTCTCTCTGACCAAGGCCAAAATAGGGAGAGGGCCTATGACTGCTCAAATAGGGCAGAGGTGTATGGAGAGGTTTGAGAGTAGGGGCTTTATCTCAGCCGCTTTCTCCCCGGCCCTGCAAATGTGCAATTCTAAGTAAGAAACTGTATTTCGTAAGTAAATTTAGCTTCTAAAGCCCTCCTTTGCAAGAATTTTGGAGCTGCCACTGCACGCAGAAAATGGTAAGCCAAAGAGGACTTCTTGCTGATAGTTGCTAGATACTAAAAGAGGAGACTGGGGTAGACCGCATGTCTGTGCCTGAGGAACTTTCCAGAAACAATACTGCATAGCGTACCTAACAGGACTGAATTTTAACCCTGCTCCACTACATACTAGAGGCAAAATTCTAAAGGTCGAAAAGGGTGTATAAGTGAAAGGCTCCCCTCCCACACCTGGCTCCAGGGTTTTCACTTCCTCTCTCCAAAGTTACCATTTTCTTAAACTTCTAAAAATATTTGTTCATATACAAGTCAGACAATAGATTGATCCATCGATCCACAGATAAATTTCCCTCTCCTTTTTAAACAAATGGCAGGCTGGTTAATAACTTGTTTTATTCAGTTAATGGTGTTTCTTAGATGTTATTCCATCTCAGCATATAAAGAGCTTCCTCGCTCTTTCATAGCATTCCACGGAATGGGTGAACTATAATTTGTTTAATCTATCATTTCTTGGTGGACATTTAATTTTGTATGTGCATTTGTAACTCTGGTAGATATTACAAATTACCTCCCAAAGAAATTATGCTGGTTTAAGTTCCTGATGACCTTGTGTAATTGAGTTTGGGCAACTACCTAATCTCTCTGAGCTTCAGTTTCCTTATCTGCAAAATAAGCAAAAGAGTACCTATTTCTTGACATTGTTGTGAAGTTTATTTGAGATAATGCATATAAAGTATTTGGCATGTAGGAGTTGGTGTTCTCTAAAGACGATGTTACTTTATTTTGGATTAATGAGACAGTGTCCTGGCTAGGGATCTACTCGCCAGTCTGGGGTTCTCTCACTAGGATGAGGGCAGATTCTGCAGGAAATCAGCAACTTAGGTCAGAAGAATTGTGGGCATTGCCTTCACCAGGGGTGCCATGTCCCCAGGGTACCTCGACCTCCTCCATATGGCTTTTACTACCAGGTTCCTCCTGGCTGAAAACACGTGTTGAATCAAAGAAAACCCTATGGGACCAAGGATCCTTTCCTCTGGTCATCAAGGATCTTGACATGAAAGACTCAGGGATTTACATCTGTGAAGTGGAGGACAAGACAAAAGAGGTGGAATTGCTGGTGTTCAGATGTGAGTATGGCAGGTGTCGTCTCTCCCCCAAATCCCGTCCCTGCACCTGAACCAGGGCCTGAGATGACGGTGCTTCAACAGCCCAGAGCCAGATGACACTGGCCACCACATCTCCTTAAACCCTCCTCAGGCCTTGGAGGAAGGGGGAGAAGAAGAGACTTAGAGTCGACTAAAGAGAAGGGCAGGAGCTATAGGAAGGAGGAGAAGAGACAAGAGAGAGAGAAGGGGGAGAGAAGGTGGGGAGGAGGAGGGGAGAGGGAAGTCCTTTCTGGGTCTGGGGTGGGCAGCTGGGTGTTGGCGGGAAGAGAAATGCTGGGACAGGGGTAATGAAGAGACACTCTTGGTTTCCTGGCTTCTTCCTTTCTCCTTGAGGATAGTGTGTGTGACACAGGTGGCCTGCTCCCTCCACAGTGAATGCTGATTTGGACATCCGCGGTGGCAGCATCCACCTGATGCCTGGGGAGAGACTGACCCTGACCTTGGAGAGCCCGCCTGGTAGCAACCCTTCAATAGTATGGAAAGGTCCAGGGAGTAAAAAGTATAATGGGGACAAGAGCCTCTCACTGTCCCAGCTAGGGTGGCAGGAGAGTGGTACCTGGGAATGCATCGTCTCCTACAGCAAGAAGACACTGGTGCTCAGCATAAACATCTTGGTGCTGGGTAAGAGGGGCCCTCTCCCCTGCAAACTCCCCCCTGCAGACTGCCCCCTGCCTCCCTGGCTGACAGACCATGCCTCTGCTCTCACTGCTCTGCTCCTGGTGGTAAGGGACAGAGGGAGGCTAGGGTGAGGCTGCCCCCAAGGCTGAGGGAAACACTGGGCCCTCTCTTCATCGGGGTGATGGACACTGAGGAAAGAAGGGACACGGAGTGTAAGGAGGTGAGGAGCCCCAGAGACCCCCTGGAGGAGGCCCCCAAGGAGCAGTGTCAAGGGCATCTATTTTCCTTGTTGCCTCAGCGGCCCATTCCCCGCAAGCTGGCACATCTGTTTACTTGGAGACACTAATACTGGAAAGCCAGCCCTGAGGAAATCTACATTGCGCCTTCAGAATCCTGAGATAGGCACTGTTAGGGAAACCGAAGCCCAGAATGCAGGTCCTACCCCAGATCCTGTCCTCCAGGTACTTATGTGACACAAGGTAGGATAGTGTGGTGGACCAATGCATGGACTCCGGATTTAAATCCTGGCTCTGACTTAACCCTGTGACCTTGGGCAAGTTACTGAATCTCTCTGTCCCTTGGTTTCTGCATTTGTAAATGGGGATGATGATCATGGAGATAGTACCTACCTTGCAATGTTATGGTGAGAAGTAATATGTGTAACACACTTAGAACAGTGCCTGGTACATAATAAGCCCTATGTATTTGCTCTTATCTTGTGAAAGGTGATAAATTATGCACCTAAGTAGTGCAGGCCAAACGCCCTCTGAGCTCCAGGGATCCTGAGGGAGAGGCCCCCCTGTACCTGGGCTGTTCTATGAGGGCTTCCAGGGGGAGGGGGCACTGCTGTGGGAATATGCTGACGTGGAGAGACAAGAAAGAAGATTAGAGAAGTAGATGGGAGTTTAAGGGCCTGAAATGGCAACCTAGGTGTTTGGACGCACCTGGTCCTCTTTCATCTCTTTGCTGCCCCCACCACACGCCTACCCCACCCCTGTACACATGCATCGTTCTGTCTCCTTCTGACCCAGGTTTTCTCCCTTCCCACCTCTAGCTATCCGGAAGGTCTCCAACACAGTCTATGCAAAAGAGGGGGAGAAGGTGGAGCTCTCCTTCCCACTTACCTTTGAAGATGAAAACCTGGAAGGTGAGCTGAGGTGGCAGCCGGAGGGGACTGCCTCCCTTCAGTCCTGGATCACATTCTCCTTGGATAACAAGAAAGTATCTGTGAAGAAGGTTCACCCAAACTGCAAGCTCAAGATGAAGGAGTCGCTCCCTCTCCTCTTCAGCCTGCTCCAGGCCTCGCCTCAGGATGCTGGCTCTGGAAACCTGACCCTGTCTCTCAGAAAGGGGCAGTTGCATCAGGAAGTGAACCTTGTGGTGATGAGAAGTGAGGAACTGGGCTGAGAAGGGGAGGGCGGGGGCGGGAGGTGGAGGGGCCGGGAGGGGGAGGGGCCATGCCCAGGGCTCCATCCAAGGCAGGGCAGGCCCTGGTTGCCTGATGGAGCTGATGGAAAAAGCCCACTGGTTTAGGGGCTGATTTTGAACTGAAACTGGAATCCCTTTGTCCTTCCCTGACATTTATGAGCCAGCCTAGGGTGCAATTCACTGAGAATCCCCAAAGGGCAATGCGCTGAGAACCAGGGTTCTAGATCTGATGCCCAGGGCTCCATCCAAGGCAGGGCAGGCCCTGGTTGCCTGATGGAGCTGATGGAAAAAGCCCACTGGTTTAGGGGCTGATTTTGAACTGAAACTGGAATCCCTTTGTCCTTCCCTGACATTTATGAGCCAGCCTAGGGTGCAATTCACTGAGAATCCCCAAAGGGCAATGCGCTGAGAACCAGGGTTCTAGATCTGCCTCTGTCCGACCTTCTATGACCCTGGCTAAGCCCTCTACCTCGGAGGGTCTCCTTTCTCCTAATGAGGAAAACAAAATCTCTGAGTATGATAGTGATGGTAATAATGTCAGGCTCCACACTGAGGTCTTTACTTCTCTATTCCTTAATCATCATAACAACTCCACAAGTAACAATGGCTAACACTTGGTGCTTCCTACACACCAAGCCCCATTCAAGAGCTTTACAAGTTTCGTACATTTAATAATTGTCTGGAGCTCAGTTTGCTAAGTAACTTGCTCAGGGACATACAGATATTAAGCAGTGGGGTTGGATTCGAATCCAAGACAGACTTCAGAAGCTGTGTTTTCTCTATTAGAACTGCATGAAAATGTGCTCTGAGAGATTAAAAGAGGAGCATCATGTGAAGTGTCATTTTATTGTTCTACTGAATCCCCAACCTTTTTGGCACCAGGAACTGGTGCTCCTATGAGAATCTAATGCCTGATGATCTGAGATAGAACTGAGGCAGTGATGTTAGTGCTGGGGAGTGGCTGCAAATACAGATGAAGTTTTGCTCACTGGCCAGCCGCTCACCTCCTGTTGAGCCCAGTTCCTAACAGGTCACAGACCGGTACTGGGGTTGGGGGCCCTGCTTTAGAGCATGGAGGTGCTGGGAACCCAGAGGTCCAGGCACCTAGCCTCAGGCTCTTGTCCCTCTGCAGTGACTAAGTCCCAGAACCTTTTGACCTGTGAGGTGCTGGGACTCAGATCCCCCAAGCTGACACTGAGCTTGAAGCTGGAGAACCAGACTGCGAAGGTCTCAGAACAGCAGAAGCAGCTAGTGGAGACGCCGGACCCTGAGGCAGGGACATGGCAGTGTCTATTGAGTGACGAGGACAAAGTCCTGCTGGAATCCAAGACTGAAGGTGAGTGAGGCTTAACTCCTGCTTCCTCAGCTGTGGGACCTTCCTGGGTTGACAGAGACCACCCAGAGTCCCAGCCTCCCAATTTCCCTGAGATGGATGGGTTATGTGTATAATACCTAGACACAAGGGGATGAAGTGAGGTAGGGTGTGGTCCTGGGCTCTAGGTGCCCACCTACAGTCCTACGAGTTCCCACCCCCGTAAGGTCTACAGACTGGAAGGGGGCCCACCTGACCCAGAGTCCCTCTCCTTGCTCCCTTTCAAACCCAGCCGCAAGCACACTCACACATGTGTGCACTTAGGGCACACATACTGGCCCTCTGCTCCCAGCTCCCCAGAGTGCCCTGTGGTCTCGAAAGCTTAAAACCCCTGCCCCAGCCTTTCCCCTCCAGCCCTGGTGGCCTATGAGAGCCCAGTGTACCCTGCCTTGCTCTCCCAGCCCAAGAGTCAGACCCAAGAGTAGCTAGCTGGGCAGTGAGGCCTTTCTCAGGCCCTTCAGAGTGCTCTGTGCCCTGATGGAGGGCAATGAGCTGAACACCTTTCTCACTCTCTCTCTCTCTCCCTACCCCACCCCTTGCAGTTCTGTCTGCAGGTTTCACTCAGGCCTGGCCAAAGCTCCTGGTCATTGTGCTGGGGGGGATCCTGGGCTTTCTGATTTTCACCGGGATCTGCATCTTCTGCTGTGTCAAGTGCCGGCACCGCAAGGTGAGTGAACCTCCCCAGACCCCCTATCACTCCTCCTATGTGAGGGTATCCTGTCTATGTGACTTGCTTCTGCTCTGTTTCTCCCTGCCTACCACCGAGTATCCTTACTGCAGACTGGGCTCTGTCCCAGATCCCACAGTGGGAGAGGCAGGAAGGAGCAGAGAGTTAACTCTGGGACAGATGGCCTCAGCCACAGTATCTGCTTCTCTCCCAGCTTTCCCCACTCCCCCCTCCAAGGGGCACCTCCTTTCTGGAGGCCTGGGACCCTCACAACTCCCTCCTTCTTCCTGGACAGCGCCAGGCAGAGCGGATGTCTCAGATCAAAAGACTCCTCAGTGAGAAGAAGACCTGCCAGTGCCCGCAGTAAGGAACTGGGCAGAGAGGGAAGGGGAGGGGTACAAACGGGAGAGGTAGGAGGAAGGCAGAAGGGAGAGAGAAGACAGGGAAGGGTAGGGGATGAGGAGGGAGGAGGAGGGGTGGAAGCGAGAAGGTGGGGGCTAAGGGAGGTGGTGAAGAGGAGAGAGGGGTGCAAAGGGATGGCTGAGGAGCTAGGAAGTATGCAGAAGGTAGAGGGTGGAGGTGGAAGGCAGCTGGCCTGGGATATTTCTGGATGTGGCACCGCAGCTGTGGCCCAGAGGCCATCGCTGAACTAGAAGAGAAGATTGGGGTCCCGGAGGCATGGAGATCCTCGAACTCAGAGGAGGTGGGCAGGAATAGACTTGCTCCTCTTATTCTTTGTTCCTCCAGCCGGTACCAGAAAACTAGTCTCATTTGAGGCACTTGGCCAGGGGGAGCTTCCTACTCGCAGCCTCCCCAGCTGTCTTGTCTGCATCTCCTGATGGGCTCCTGGGCCTGTGGACCAGATGAATGTAGCAGATCCCAGCGCCTCTGGCATCTCCTGCTCTCCTTGTCCACAGTTAGCCACTGGGTTTCCTCTTCCAGAGGCTTACTCATACCACTGCTTCCCCATTCCCTTTTCAGTCAAACTCTAACCCTTCTTCAAATATTTCTTCTCAATTCTTTCCCTCACTGCCCACTTGGATCCCAGGGGAGCATGCAGGACTGGCCAGGCTGGGTATCTGAAGCATGAAGCACAGGACTGTCACGTTACAGGAGGGAACCCGGGAACCAGAGAGGGCAGGGACTAGTTAGTCCAAGATCACACTGTCAAGGACAGATCCAGATATAAAGACTCTTGACTGCCAGCCTCCACTGTTCCATTCTGCCACACACCCATGCACACAGCCCATACTTGTACACAGACACAATTCTTTATCTCCCAAGCAGCACACTCAGTTTATACACCAAGTCAGATTCACACAGCTGGTAAATGCTGGAAGCAGGACTGGCCCCAGCCTCTTGACTCCTAATTCTACTGCTGTTTCTCGAATACAGGAACAAACATGACACAGATCTCTGCAGCTTGGCTAGTCACAGATGCTCAGTATGTACCTTAGGATTTAATGGAGCACACCACCACCACAGGGCCTGCCTCCGAGAGTTCAGGAACATGTAGGAGGGCCTCCCTGCCTGAAATCATTCCTTCATCACCTGCTGGTGGCAGAATCCTGTTGCCACAGGACACAGCCTTCAGCTCGCCTAATCAGAGCACAGGCCCTGTGGGAGAGAGCACCCAGGGACTCTCCACTCACCTTGTGCAGAACCTCTGGAAAGTGAGCTCTGCCAGGAGTCGAGGGTAGGGCACTGGCCTGAGAGTGAACCCTCTGGGAGGACCTCCTGTGAAGGGTGATAGTGCTGGACCTCAGTCCCCCTGCTCTGCACCCTCCTTCATCCCTCTACCAGACCATTCAGGCAGGACAGGAACATTGAGGTTGCGAGCATGCTTCCTATCTTCTTGATCCATTTCCTTCAGACTCCCTGGCCTCCTCTGCCTCTCTTCCCATTCCCTTCTCACCATCTCCCTCAGTCCCTATGCCCTTTCCCTTGCTTTCCAGCTTTCCTCTTCCAAGAACACTCCATTGCTTGCTTAGTATTCCTGCCCACTCCCCACCCCTGCCTCCCTGAGCTGACAGAAAAATACAATAAACTTACTCTAAAGAAGATGCTCTTCTCCATATTTGTGTGTGTGTGTCCCTGCATCCTTTTAGACCTGTGTATCCCCAGCCCACAGGCAGCCCATCTTCGGCACTACTGCCCCTCACTCCCCATAACCTCCAGCAAATGCCCCTCCCAGCTACGCCCTAGGCACAGCCCTCACAGATACACACAGTGACACACTGTGACACACGCTTCCCCCTCCCAGAACAGCTAGCTCCTCAATCCCCGAACCACCAGCTGCCTCTTGGAGTCTGTGTTCGTGTTGAAAAAGGCATGGGGTGGGGGTAGGACACGAACCATTTCACCAATGAAGCCGGTTCCCCTCCATCCTCCTCGTCCCTCCCTCTCGGCGCCTTCCTCGCCCCTCCTTCTGCAAGTCAGCACCGTCCAGTTACCCGCCCTACACTCGTCCCCCTTCCCTCCCGAAAAGCCTTCCTTCAGCCCCTGACCCAGGGCTCGCGGGCTGGACGACTCAGGCAGACAGGGGCTGGGGGAGCCCCGGGGGGCAAAGACGGATTGCGCGGCGGGCTGAGCGGGGAGTCTAGGACAGAGGCGAGGGAGGGAGGCCCGGAGTGGGGGAGGGGGAGGAAGAGAGGAGGGAGGCGGAGCTGGAGCTGGCGGGCCGCGGGAGCCGGGCGAGCCACGTCGGGAGTGCGGTCTCCAAGGCAGTGCTGGGCTCAGCAAGAGGTAAGCCGACCCCTGCCCGGTCCTCCGCGGTCCCCTCCTCTCTTCCCCCAGCTGCCTCCTCTCCCCCTCCGAACAGCCCCTCCTCCCCAGCCACCTGCTGTTTCTGCCTGGAGAACCTGGTGGGCGGCAGGAGGGAGGAGCTACTTGACCTTACCCCTTCACCCCTAAGTGCGGGGGACCCCTGTCCGCCCTGGAGTCCCCGGATTCCCCCCTCCCACCTTCCTCTGATCTTTCTCTGCCCTTCACCTCCTTCTCTCTGTCCTTCACATCCTTCCTGCCTCTCTCCCTCTCTGACTCCCCATCTCTTTCTTCCCGAGCCCACCCGCTGGGCCTGGGTGAGGGTGAGTGGGAAGGGGTCCGAGGCTGTTGGGGAGGGAAGTGGGGGAGGCGCTCCGGACCAATTCCCTCCACCTCCCTCTGGCTGGCCATTGCCATGGCAACTAGGGTGTACTGGGCTTCGGAAAGAAGACAAAGGTGGGGGGTGGACTAAGACCTCTTGAGCAGGGCAAGGGTCTGAGGTTCTTCCACAGGAAATAGACCGTCCCACCGCTTGCCCTATTTTTACTCCCATTTACCCCAAAGCCATTATACCCATCCTTCCTGCCTCCCCTCTGTTCAGGGGTACACCTGATTTCCTCTTAGCCCCCTCCCCAGGGCTTCCTGAAACTGCAAGTGAGGAAATTCAGGACTATCTCACCCCCATCAGAGGGAAACTGAGGCTGAGGCAGGGGAGGAAAGACTCGAGGTCTACCAGTGGGAGTCAGCACCTTATTGAACAATTTAGCTTTTCTTTTCAACCTTCCTATTCCCCGCTCCCTCCCTCCCTTCAATCCTCCTCCCTCCAAAGCCTCCTCTTCAAGGGTCTCTGGGCTTTACCTTCTATTTTCAGATACTATCACTTGGCCCCCTCGTTATTTCTCTTCTGCTGCAACTCTCCTCCTTCCTCCTAGTTCCTCCTCTTTCCATTTCTGGATGCCTCTGATGTCAATGGTTTCCCTGCTTTTGGGTTCCCTAGCCCTCCCTCAGTCCCAGCCTCCTTTCGCCCATCTTCCCAGATCCCTGATGAGCTGGAGGACAATCATGGAATGGGGAAACCACGGGCCCAGGAGCCTGGGAGGTTGGAGAGGGTCTGTAATACCATTTCCCAGTTTACCCTGAACCCTCAAGAAGAAACAAGTCATGCGTCTGCTATCAGTAGCTCTGAAGAGAGATTCAGGGGCATGAAGATAGGGTTGAATAGTACTCAGTAGGGGATATGAGAAGGAACCTGAGAATGCCGGAGGGAAGAGAAAAGGCTGAAGAGGGATGAGAGGCAGGAGGTCAGAATACCTTCTTTCCTGGAGGTCTGGAAAACAGGGCTTTTGTTTGTGTGGGGTATTTGAGCAGGCATCTAGTTTAAGGTAGGAGAATATTCTGAATGACTCCATGACCCCTAGTAATCATTTCTAAAGTTTCAAGAGAAGGGGGGCACAAGAATCCCGTTGGAGACCAATGTAGGCCCTATCTTTACCCTCCCCCTTCCACATCTCATCTCTCCCTTGCAGTTTGTCCAGGTGGCTGAGCCTCATCCCCACACGCCTTGAGCCTTCCAGAAGATCCCCGACTGGTCAAGAACCAGAGGAAGAAGAGACCTGCAAGTCCTGGCATGGGGGCCAGAGCTCCCCAGACAGCCTCATAGTTGGGAAAGCAGCCAGCTTGCCTCCCCCATCAACTACAGGGGTACTTCAAGAAGGGCCCCATCCAATATGGAGGCTGAGGACCACTTCTGCTGACACCCAGTCTCCTCCCCTGCCCTCCACACCTGACCTTAGCTGGGTCAGTCATGCAATGCTGAGCAGTAAGGTGGGCCTAGGGGCGGCCTGCCTCACTACAGGGCAAGGACTGTGGGCATCATGAGGGTGTGTGTGAGTGGGGCTCCTGGGTGAGACCTAGCCCCCACCCCCAGGAGTTCAGGGGGGGGTGGGGGGCTGAGGATAGGATGGCTCGAGGTGGGGCAGGGGCAGAAGAGGCCTCCCTGCGCTCAAACGCGTTGTCCTGGCTGGCCTGTGGGCTCCTGGCCCTTCTGGCCAATGCCTGGATCATCCTCAGCATCTCCGCTAAGCAGCAGAAGCACAAGCCACTGGAGTTGCTGCTCTGCTTCCTGGCGGGCACACACATACTCATGGCAGCTGTGCCCCTCACCACCTTTGCTGTGGTGCAGCTCCGGCGCCAGGCTTCCTCCGACTATGACTGGAATGAGAGTATCTGCAAGGTCTTTGTGTCCACCTACTACACACTGGCCCTGGCCACCTGCTTCACAGTCGCCTCACTCTCCTACCATCGCATGTGGATGGTGCGTTGGCCCGTCAACTATCGTCTCAGCAACGCCAAGAAGCAGGCGCTGCATGCTGTCATGGGCATCTGGATGGTCAGCTTCATCCTCTCCACACTGCCCTCCATTGGCTGGCACAACAACGGCGAGCGCTACTATGCCCGGGGCTGCCAGTTCATAGTCTCCAAGATTGGCCTCGGCTTTGGCGTCTGCTTCAGCCTCTTGCTGCTTGGGGGCATTGTCATGGGGTTGGTCTGTGTAGCCATCACCTTCTACCAGACGCTGTGGGCCCGACCCCGGAGGGCTCGGCAGGCCCGGAGAGCAGGGGGTGGAGGTGGGACTAAGGGAAGTGGGCCAGGGGGTTTGGGTACCCGGCCAGCCTTTGAGGTGCCAGCCATTGTAGTGGAAGATGCCCGAGGGAAGCGGCGGTCCTCGCTGGATGGCTCCGAGTCGGCCAAGACATCCCTGCAGGTCACCAACTTGGTCAGCGCCATCGTCTTTCTCTATGACTCACTCACAGGGGTGCCCATCTTGGTGAGATTGGGGTCCCCCCTCCTGTTCTCCCCAAGCCAGGCCCCAGCACCATCACCTGACTTCCAACTTCATCAGCCATATAGCAGCTCCATCATCCATCTTCCTCTCTTCTATCCATTCCCACTTCATTTGTGAACTCTCATTTCTATTATCCATCTTCTAGCTCCCTTTACCCCCAGCTCCATCCTCTGTTTTCCAGTTCCCGCCACTCAATTCTCTCATTCGTGCTTCAGTCTCACTACCTGTCCTCCAGTTTCATCATCTATCCTGAGGCTCCACTATTCAGTCCCCGAGACCTATCATCCAGCTGCTGAGTGAGCTCCACTCTTCATTCCCTAATTCCCTCTGGATACCACAAGGTCTCTGATCACTCTTGGGTGGAAGCCCAAAGCTCACTCCACCACCCCAGCTTTTTGCATCCCCACCTAGTCCCTATTCCTGAACTTCTCTCTATCTTCAGGTTTACTGTATCACCTCTGCTCCTCTCCCTCTGGACCCCAGAGCTTTGCTCCAGTACTCTCCCCTGTCCTTCCTCCGAGTCAATCCCTTCCTCTCTGTTCCTCCCCTGTCCACCTCCAACTGTGCCTCTGTCATGATCCGATGTGATCCGGGCCATCCCTTCCTGACTTCTTGCCCTCCAGCTGCACTTTGTTACCGGATCTGGGGTCAAGTGGGCCCCCTGGGCTCTGAGCCCTGACCCGGCGCCATTCCCCATCCTCCCACCAGGTGGTGAGCTTCTTCTCCCTTAAATCGGACTCGGCTCCCCCGTGGATGGTGCTGGCTGTGCTGTGGTGCTCCATGGCACAGACGCTGCTGCTGCCCTCCTTCATCTGGTCCTGCGAGCGCTACCGCGCCGACGTGCGCACGGTGTGGGAGCAGTGCGTGGCTATCATGTCCGAGGAGGATGGCGACGACGGTCAGAAGAGGGACCGGGCTTTTGCTTTCCAGGGCATCGGATCCCTTCTCTGCCCCTTTCTACCAGCCCTTCTCAGCGCGGGACGGGCTGCCCTGGAGTGCCCCCTGCTGGACAGAACCTGCGCCTCCCGTGGGCTGACTCCAGGCTCCCCTTTCCCTAATCCTACACCACGACCGCACCCTCACCGCTTCCTTCTGCACTGAGGGCTACCTCCACAGGGCGTCGGTTCCCCTCTGGAAGCCTACACTACCCAGTTCTGCCTTTGTCGGGCAGAATGCCCGAGAAACAGTTCAGAATCCTAACATAACCATAAAGGAAGGCTGTGGAACTAAGGGGAGGCTAAGCTTCCTAAGAGAGACCCCAGCTGTAGGGACAGCTCTTGGGGAGGAGGACTACATGTAATGAGGCACTAGGGATTCAGCATTGAACGCAATAGACACTAGGCACTCTTACTTTCCTCCTGGAGCTTACGGACTAATGGGAACAAAAGGATTCTCTGGGGAACTTATACGAGGGGCAGGAAATTTTAAAGGGGGCAGGGAGGGGTGGGCGTTCCTTACCTCTAACCGCTCTGCCCCTTTTCTCTCCTAGACGGGGGCTGTGATGACTATGCAGATGGCCGAGTGTGCAAAGTTCGATTTGATGCTAATGGGGCCACAGGACCAGGGGACCCCACCCAGGTGAAGCTGCTGCCTGGGAGGCACATGCTCTTTCCCCCTCTTGAGAGGGTTCACTACTTACAGGTATGGGAGTAGGGAATACACCTCCTATTCTGGGTGTCCCTTCACTACTTTTCTCCAGTCTTTGTTATCCAGTCCACCCCCACTCCCATTCCCTAGCCCTGGCCTGCAGGGCACATAAGGGGTAGAGGAAAGAAAGGCGTGATAAGAGAGGCTCCCCTTCAGACCTCTCCGAACCAAGTTTGCCCATCAGAGGATGTTTTGCAGAAGTTTAAGGGGTTGGAGCCATCTTGCAGAATCCCCAATTTGGTCCCTGCCTCTACTCCCTTTGTCCCTGAAGCACCTCTGAGTCTACTTGCTCCTCTTCTCAGGTCCCTCTGTCTCGCCGTCTGTCCCATGATGAGACCAACATCTTCTCCACTCCTCGGGCGCCTGGCTCCTTCCTGCACAAGTGGTCATCCTCTGATGACATCCGGGTCCTCCCAGCCCAGAGCCGGGCCCTGGGAGGCCCTCCTGAGTACCTGGGACAAAGACAAAGGCTGGAGGATGACGAGGATGATGAGGAGGCTGAAGGTGGAGGGCTAGCCAGCCTTCGCCAGTTCCTGGAGGGTGGGATTCTGGGGTCAGGTGGGGGGCCCCCAAGGGGTCCTGGCTTCTTCCGGGAGGAGATCACCACCTTCATTGATGAGACACCTCTGCCTTCTCCAACTGCCTCACCAGGGCCCTCTCCTCGCCGGCCCAGGCCATTAGGCCTCTCACCCCGCCGGCTCTCCCTTGGGTCCCCTGATAGCAGAGCCATTGGACTTCCTTTGGGGCTAAGTGCAGGGAGACGCTGCTCCCTGACAGGAAGTGAGGGGAGTGCAAGAGCTTGGGGAGGATCCTGGGGCCCAGGTAACCCCATCTTCCCCCAGCTGACCCTGTGAACCCAAGTGGGCCTG